ACTGCATGGCTCCTGCGACAAAGGCAGGAGGGCGTAGAGCCCTAGCCTGCATCCGGTCTCTGCCCTGCACATGAATCTGGGGGGCATGTGCCCACCATGCCTCCCCCGGGGGTGCTTGCAATGGCAGGAAGCCATGCCCCCCCAACCCCTGGACGAGCTGTCCATGGCACTGTTGCACAACCTGCCCCATTCACCCTAGCCTTTGCCCCACTTCCTCCCTACCCAGGGGGGCCTCAATCTGTCCCCCTGCCCCTTCCCTTTCCCTCCACCCCACAGACTTACTGGCACGACACTGCTTTACATGCACCAGGAGAAAAAAAATCCTAAGATTTGATCTCTCTTATTGGAGATCATGAGTCAGAGTTAATTTGACTTGGAAATCGTGACTCTCACAATTTTTTGGCAAGAGTTGACATTATTAGCTTCCTTTCACTTCAAGCACAAAAACACTGCTTAACTTTTGGTTCAAGCTATGACTGGATTAAGGTACAAAGCCAAAGGCCCAATCCTAGGGCCTCAGCTACCTGACTGATATGATATGTGTATAGATGGATCGAAGTTTGGAAAGGGGGTGCAGGAGCAGCAACCTTCACTGCAGGGGGGACTGCACTCCAGCTCGCAGACTCTGTCTCCATACCAAGGTGTGCAGATCACACCAGAGGAGCAGCAACCTTTTTAAAAGTCCCTGGAGCAGGTAAGGAATCTTCCCTGCAGCCTCCCTTCCCCTCCCTGCTCAGCGGAGTGTTCACTGCCTTCCCCTGCCCATTGCTGCTGCTCTCCCCAACTGCACTGGAGACAGAATCATAGAATCAATGGAGCGGAAGGGACCTGTAAGATCAAGTCCCGGCCTGTGCCATAGGCAAAAGATTAATGAGCTCAAACTAGCTCAATGAAGTGCTTATCCAGCCTCCTCTTGAGCACCTCCAAGGATGGCGAACGCACCACCTCTGCTGGGAGTGTGTTCCATGTTTTAGTTACCCTTATGGAGAAGAAGTCCTTCCTTATGTCCAGCCTAAATCTTCCCTCTATTAGTTTGTGCTCATTGGTCCTCATCCTCCCATGGGGTGCCTTCCTTAAGAGTTGCTCCCCCAGATCTTAGTGCTCCCTCCCGACATACTTGTAGGCAGCCACCAATTCACCTCTCAGCCTCCTCTTACTCAGACTGAACAAGCCCAGCTCCCAGAGTTTCTCCTTATAGGTCCTATCCTCCAGGTCCCTAATCATGTGGGTGGCCCTTTTCTGTACCCTCTCAAGCTTATCCACATCCTTCTTGAAGTTCAGTCCCCAAAACTGGGCACAGTACTCTGGCTGTGGCCTCACCAATGCTGAGTAGAGAGGGAGAAGCACCTCCCTGGATCTGCTAGCAGCACATCGGCTGATGCATGCTAGTGTTCTATTTGCCGTGCTGGCGATTTCAGCGCACTGTTGGCTTATATTTATCTTCTGGTCGATTGTGACCCTGAGGACCCATTCAGATGCTGTGCCACCCAGGGGGCTACTGCTTATCCTATAGTTATGTTGAAGGTTTTTCCTACCCAGATGAAGGACCCAACACTTTTCCCTGTTGAACATCATCTGATTCTGAATAGCCCATTGAACCAGTGTGTCAGGGTCATCCTGGATCCTTACCCTCTCCTCTGGTGTTCCCATATTTCCCCACACTTGGGATCATCCGAAAACTTAATCACAGAGCATTCCACACTTCAATCCAAGTCATTAATAAATATGTTAAAAAGCATGGGTCGAACCAAAGATCCCTTGGGGACACCATTGGAGATGGCTCTCCAGGATGAGGTCATCCCATGGATTACAACTCTCTGGGATTGGCCTCTAAGGCAGTTGTCTACCCACCTCACTGTAGACTGGTCCAGGCCAGTACCCTCCAGTTTAATTCTTGGGAAATAAAATTAAAGGTTTTACTGAAGTCTAAGAAGATGATGTCCACCTCACTCCATTGGGAAAGAAGCCCTTCTCAGCCAGAATGGCTAACCTGCTCAACCGGGCTTTAAACTAAGGTCATTGGGGAATGGGCGGACAAGCTCACCAAGCATCAACTGCAAAATCAGCAGGTTAGGATGCTCAAGGGAACCCACTTCTACCCCAGCCAAGGAACAAAGCTTCTTCATGAGTACAAGAAAGCCTAGGGCCTTCAACAGCTGCTTTAGAGGGTCTTGCTAATGCTGCTCATTATACAA